TGATTGGCTGTTGCTCATGACATGGAACCAATCAGATCGCGCTGTGGGTAAGGCTTAGACCACTGAGCGACTGCAGAGAGAGAGCTGGCCGAATCAGAGCCAAAGCAGCGCTTTTCATTTATTTAGCAATAATCGGTCAATAAAAACAACAACAACGCCAATAATCAGAAAAATGCCAGATATCAGCCAGGCCGCTTATCAGTCAATCCCTAATACTTCATATATTCCTGTGGATCACTCGCCTCCACCACCTCCATGTGGATTACTCTCTCCAATCCATTTTATCCTCTTAGTCTCTCTCTCCTTCTTTCTTCGTTGTACAGTATGTGGGTCAACTTTCTCCTGGGCTTGTTATCCAAATCAGTCCCTGTTGTCATCCCTGGTCTCAGCAGACTATTTTTAACTTCTCCCCTCTACACATCCAGACCCTGATAAAAGAAATTCAGGTTCTAATTTGAAATGTTTTCTCTGTACAGGTTATGTTTGTTTTATGCTTGTTCCTGCTTTCAGACAGTAGTTCTGTCTCTTCTCTTCTCTTCTCTTCTCTTCTCTTCTCTTCTCTTCTCTTCTCTTCTCTTCTCTTCTCTTCTCACCTCATAGCCAACTCTTAAAATGATTGTGTTGGTTTTTCAGTGTTTCGATGTGTGTCTGTGTGTGTTGGAGAGAAGAAAGTAGGATGTGTTTTGGACTTAGCAGAGAACAACTTGAAACCATTTTGCTACCACTTGTACATGGAAGCCACATTTACTAATTAGATATTGCTTTATCGCGTGTTGTAAATGTCATCTTCTTGCTGGCGTACTGTAGGATGTGTTCGTATGCAGGTGCTGCAGAGGGAGAGTGCTGAGGGAATCGGCTCAAGGCGAACAGGCCAGTTGTGTCTGTGAAACATTGTTGTGCTTTGTTTTGATCTCCAGGCCTTCTTAAATGTCAGCTGGCCTTTTCATTATTCATCTGGCATTGCCTCACAACCCTTGTCCTTCTCTCTTTCTTCCTCTCTCATCGAATCCTCAAGGACACATGTGATGCAGTTGTGAGCTACAGATAAAATGGACTGAATGTAATTGTCTTCATGTACGAGGAAATCCCACGTGTAATATTCTGTTTCTTATTATCTTAAAAGCTGATATTTAAATAATAACAGCATGAACAAATGATTGTAAAAAACATAGATTGGGATGAGTCCCTGGTCATAGAATAGCTCACATACACTCACCGGCCACTTTATTAGGTACACCTTGCTAGTACCGGGTTGGACCCTCTTTAGCCTTCAGAACTGCCTTAATCCTTCGTGGCATAGATTCAACAAGGTACTGAAAACATTCCTCAGAGACTTTGCTCCATATTGACATGATAGCAACACGCAGTAGCTGCAGATTTGTCAGCTGCACATCCGTGATGCAAATCTCCCGTTCCACCGCATCCCAAAGGTGGTCTATTGGATTGAGATCTGGTGACTGTGGAGGTCATTGGAGTGCAGTGAACTCATTGTCATGTTCAAGAAGCCAGTCTGAGATGATTGGCGCTTTATGACATGGTGCGTTATCCTGCTGGAAGTAGCCATCAGAAGATGGGTCCACTGTGGTCATAAAGGGATGGACATGGTCAGCAACAACACTCAGGTAGGCTGTGGTGTTGGCACAATACTCAATTGGTACTAAGAGGCCCAAAGTGTGCCAAGAAACTATCCCCCACACCATTACACCACCAGCAGCAGCCTGAACCGTTGATACAAGGCAGGATGGATCCATGCTTTCATGTTGCTGACGCCAAATTCTGACCCGACCATCCGAATGTCGCAGCAGAAATGGAGACTCATCAGACCAGGCAACGTTTTTCCAATCTTCTATTGTCCAATTTTGGTGAGCCTGTGCGGATTGTAGCCTCAGATTCCTGTTCTTAGCTGACAGGAGAGGCACCCAGTGTGGTTTCTGCTGCTGTAGCCCATCCACCTCAAGGTTCGACATGTTGTGCGTTCAGAGATGCTGTTCTGCATACCTCGGTTGTAACGAGTGGTTATTTGAGTTACTGTTGCCTTTCTATCAGCTCCAACCAGTCTGGTCATTCTCCTCTGACCTCTGGTATCAACAAGGCGTTTGCGCTCACTGGATATTTTCTCTTTTTCGGACCATTCTCTGTAAACCCTAGAGATGGTTGTATGTGAAAATCCCAGTAGATCAGCAGTTTGTGAAATACTCAGAGCAGCCCGTCTGACACCAACAACCATGCCACGTTCAAAGTCACTTAAATCACCTTTCTTCCCCATTCTGATGCTCAGTTTGAACTGCAGCAGATTGTCTTGACCATGTCTACATGCCTAAATGCATTGAGTTGCTGCCATGTGATTGGCCGATTAGAGTAGTTGGACAGGTGTACCTAATAAAGTGGCCGGTGACTGAAGTTACCTCACACTGTGGAGTATTTGTGGTATTTATGCAAGCCGTACCATTCACACAAAACCTTTATTGATCCAAGGACAGAGCCCACTGTGGAATGATCAGTGATTACACTTTCTAAACAGTCAGTCTGTCCTATCCCTTGTCCTGTGCTGCTGTTCAGTAACCTTCTGACCTCGCTGTCATCAAATGGCCCGAGTTCTCTGCAGTCGATAGACCCACGCTCCCAGTTTACAAAGCCCGCCTGCTTGTCTGAAATCAGTCCAGTTTTGTCTCCACCTTGTAGCATTGCTGTTGGAGATTTGGCCACTGAAAAAAAACTGAAATGGTGGAATAATGGTGAGATTTAGCAGCCCACTGAGAGCCATTACAGAGCTGCAGATGGGTATCAGAGCACCACCAACTGTTGATCAGGCAGCATGTTTGAGTCAGCAAGTTTCTAACCCGCTGATGTGCCATTGAGCAAGACATCTTTGCGGTTTTTATATCACTGATGTGTAGTAATTATTCTCACTTATCTCCAGGTGTGTCTTGCACCGAAGCTAGTTTTGTTTTTGTTTGAGACGTCTGTCTGTGAGACTGTGCTCATTGCTCAGTGCAATAGAGATAAATAGAATGTTGTTTTGAAACCTTAGAACAAGATGAAAACCATTTTGAGATGACAGTCGAGCATTCAATCCACTTTGGACCCCTTTTTACTGAACTGTTGTCATTCGTGTAGAACTGGGGCCAACTCTGGGTTCTCTGCAGGATTTCCACATGTTACCACCTATCCAGATGTCAAACCTGACCTTGTTTGTACTCTGACCAATAAATGTGGTCGGCACAGTCGCCATTGTGAAGTATTTGTTAGGAGTTATTTTGTTTGTGACTCCATTAAGAAATACTGAACCGTGTTTATTTGTGCTCAGAGTTTATCTTCAGTATATGCCATCATATGTACCCTTCTTCTGTTGTTTGTGCTTCTCTTTGAGCTCCTCAGTACAAATCTCTGATGTCACCACACCGTAGAAGGAAACAGATTTTGAATTTTCCAAACGTTGTCTATTGAGGTGTTTCCAATTTTCATGCAAAGCATATTGCTGATGCTGTGATCCAGAACTGGCCCAGGAGCACAATAAGCTTGGACTCAATCACCAGGAGCAGCAGTGGGACTCGAGTTCATTGTTGCATGCAGAGAAAGCCACACAGAAAGCAGTGACTTGTATAATAAGCAATTTGTACTAAAAGGAATAGATTCAGAGAGAAAGTAGATAATGTAAGCAGCTCTGATGGACAACCGTTGTGTCCTGAGCAGCTGTTTCCATTAGACCAGCAGCACAGCAGCCTTGCATTAGATACAGTCTCTCTCAGCTATGCTGTGAGACAATGCGAGACATATGCATTGGAGAACTGACTAGCAGGAGACTGAAGGAGAGGACTGGAGTGTGAAGCTCCACTGAACATTAAAGCATCTTTGCTTCTCCAGGGTTCTCACCAGCAGTATAACAGAGTAATGGCCCGAGAAAGTGGCTAAATTCCTGATTGGTAACCTTGGTGATCCTGAGCAACTCTAAGCTTTATCAAATAGGAGAGTTTTACGTTTAACCTTACAAGTAGAGAGGGTGTCTGCCTCCAGAACCCAAACTGGGAGCTGATTCCTTCTGGAAACTCTGGAACCACCAGTAGACCTGCAGTCTGAGAGCAAAGGGCTCTGTTAGGATGATACGGTGCGATAAGGTTTTTAAGGTTAAATGAAGACAGGTTCCCTGCCATCACATGCTGTTAAAATATAATGTTTAATGTGTATTGGTTCAGTAATATTGGTTGTTTTTTTTTTTGGATTGCAATTAAGTGGCAAAATCCAGAGCAATCAGTTCTGTTGTTGCCATGTTGCCCTTTGCAGTAACAGAATTCCAACCATCATCATCATCACAGGTTGTTAGCTGTGGATAGCTTGACTAGAGCTCCATTCAACCGACAGTTTGGAAATTTGGAAAAACTACAAAGATTATTGAGAACCTAATAATACCAAATAAGCTGTTTCAGAAATGTGTTTTGAGCAGCACAGTTCTTTCTTTCAATGTGTACTTTTACAAAGTAATGTTCAAGGTTCATGGTGTGTTCTTCTGCATGACTTTTTGTGTGAACTTCTAGAAACTTCTATACTCCTCATACTCTTCCTCATTACCTGCTTGCATCACTACTACAAACAATATGTTTTTAACATATATAACGCTGGATAAGAGGTACAGCCTTTAAAGTCTTTGTCACTTTTCTCACTGCAGTCACATTTCTTTCTGCCAAAAGGCTGCTGGTGGACTTTGGATTGCTGATATTCCAGTTGCAAACAATCCATTATTAGAAATGTATGCTAAGTTGAACTCGTTTGAACTCCCAGTTACACGACTCTGGTGCAGTCTGCATTCAGAAGGTCCTGTGGAGCAGTGAGACAGCTGACAGAGGATGCAGGCAGACAGAGGGGCAGTTTTCAATATCCCTGTTTAACTACTGAGCCTACACAGCTTCATGCCTTTACATACTCTGTCATGTTTCAGCATAAACAGACTTTTGTTTTTAATGCTGCATACTTAACTTTGTCTCCTTCTCCTCTGATCTGTCAAGGTGAAAACTTTGAAGAGAGTCCGCTGAAGAGGACATTCAAGTCCAAAGTTCTGGCACATTACCCCGAGAACGTTGAGTGGAACCCTTTCGACCAGGATGCCGTCAACATGGTATGTGGATACTAACATTGTGTGGATCAAAGATCGGAAGAATAAGGTTTAAGCAGTTCAATAAAAAACCAGGACAGAAAGAAAACAATGGGATCATTTGGAGAGGAAGGAGAAGGCAGTGCAGGTTGTTAAAATTGAGGTTTTGGGACAGAGGCGGAGAGAGCGAGAGAGACACCCTACTCCTAAGGAGGAAGCCACAAATTTTGAGTATTCAAGGCCTTAGATTGAGACACAAGGCCTCCTTAAGGTAACAGAGCGGTGATAAATCCCCGCCAGTCTTTGTGCAGGGCTTTGCATGGGAAGCTGCACTGACTGTTGCCGGTTTGTGGTTTAGATGTTTCAGATTGTTGAGTCTTCACATAAGTTTCCAAACCAGAGTAGATGTAAACCTGTTCAAATACAATGTTCAGATATATATGAACAGATACAAAGGACCTGCTGCCCAATTTACACGTTTGCTCAAAACCCAGGTTGTTCTGAGTTTGATATTCAGACATCCAGAGTGATCAAAATCCACACGTCTGCTTGAAAGGCAGTCAGTTCACTTCTATCAACCATTTGTTTGACTGGGTTTCATCTACCTCAGTGCTATTACTGTTCATACTGAAATCAATATAATACATTAACTGACAGCCTAAAACATTTAAGTATGTGATTTGAAGGCAGCTTAAGTACCAAATCATGTCAAATTCACTGTGGTCAAAAACCTAATAATAAGTCCTGCCACGCTGCCGTCAGCAGGAGTTTAGAGCTTAGCTAAGTTAGCTGTTGCCTTGTTTAGTGGTGTGAAATAATAAACTGACGAACCGTTTCATTTACAGATACCACTACGAGAAAATCAAACTTGAGTGTAGTTTTAGCTCAGGCTCGCTGTGTCCGTCTCAGCAGCTCCGTTTCCCGTTGATACCGCCCTCTGATTGTATGTCGTTAGCTGTGTGTCTATGGCAGTGAAGCAGGTGTGCCAACAAGCCAGAGTGCAGATGCTGATGCCTGCAGCAGCACAGGAACATAACGCAGCCCCTACACATACAAAGAGCTCGTACAGAGTTTGAGTTCATGTCGTAGTTATTGAAATGGTTGTTTTCACAGTGGAGAAGAACAGAAGTCACAGAGTCAGATTCCAGGAGGAGCTCAGTTTTGAACCAACATGTGGTTGTCTGATATGTGTGACTGTGATCCGACTGTGCTGAACTACCAGTACAGTGACCTTGACAGGAGCAGCAGAGTGAATTCCCCAATCAGATTTATTCTGTGTGTGTGTGTGTGTGTGTGTGTGTGTGTGTGTGTGTGTGTGTGTGTGTGTGTGTGTGTGTGTGTATGATCACCGCCTATTTTTCCACCTGCCCTGGCGTCAGCACTACTGAATTATTCAGCCACGCTTCTCACCTTACGTCGGCATGGAAACACGCCATTATGCAGCAGTGTGGCGACTGAAACCCGACACCGAAATGATTGCGAGCTGTCGAGGGCGACGAGTGATACACACTGTGAAAACACCATCATCTCACCACGCTCTCTCTTTTTCCCTCTCTGCTGACCTCCACAGTCCCTTTTTTCCTCCTCTTCCTGCATCATACCTCCATCACCTCCTTGTTCTATCAGCAGCTCATCCTCTCTGGGATGGCCTCATCCCTCCTCCTCCTCCTCCTCTTGCTGGGAGGCGAGAGATGAGGAGAACAAGGGAGTGTAATAACACTTTCTGTGGCTGCAGGCCTGTCAGTAAAACAAGGATGTTCATAAAACCTCTTTAATAACTTTTTTTTATCAGTTTTTTTGACCTTCTGTCCACATGGAGCCAATGTTTTCCACCAGCAAAATTTGATCTCTAAAACACTGGAAATGCCTGCAGCGTGAATGAAGTAATACTGAGTTCATAGTAGTCATGTGATCCATCCTAGAGAATCTTGACCAGCTGGTGCTCTGCGTCATTCAGCAGCTTTAACAGCAACCAGCAGACTGCATCAGCTGACAAATGTATGCCCTGTACCAGGGATCTCAGCTTTTGGTTCTGTGGTTGAATTAGTTTGTGTGTTTCTTCACATTTTTATATACGAGCTGTTGGAAGAATTTTTTGATCACATCTACAGGCCAAAGACTCTTCCTCCAAAATGTGTATAGGATCATCTATTCTTAGTTCTTGCATTGAGAATAGCCAAGAGAGCTTTTCAGATTTGTGTCATTAGCCGTCTCTCTCTTTGATCATCATTGACACTTATTTTCCTTCCATTCTGTTTTGGGGATCATGAAATGAAGGACATCATTTTATCGAAAAACAAACTGTTTTTGACACCGCTGAGCCCCCAGCATCACCCCCAGCATCACCCCCAGCATCACCCCCAGCATCACCCACAGCATCACCCACAGCATCACCCACAGCATCACACACAGCATCACCCACAGCACACACATTTTGAGGTTCACTTTATTTTATTTTGGGGGTCTACTGTGCTGTCTCTGGCCTTCCTAATCAGATGTTAAATGTTTCTGGTAAACTTTCCAACCATTATATCTGTTCCTAACAGAACGGCTCTACTTTAACTGTAGTTTAGAAGAAATTCTAATTACATGAAGTACATTTTTGTTTACCTTTGGGTTTGTTTGTTTGTGTTTGTTTGTTTTTTAAGTTCAGCCTTGTAGAGCCAGACAGGATGTTTCCTCTCTGACAGCTGAGATGGTGCAGCTGTGACACTGTCTTTGTTTGTTTGTTTGTTTTTTTAAGTTCAGCCTTGTAGAGCCAGACAGGATGTTTCCTCTCTGACAGCTGAGATGGTGCAGCTGTGACACTGTCAGCAGGAAAGCTGCTAGTGACCTGAGCATGAGCACGTAGTGTAGTTTCACATTTTAGGCTGCACATGGATGTCACGAAGGGATCCATGAGGACTCTTATAGACTTGAGATGACAAAATGTATGTCACTTTGACCCTAGCAGACGCTCACGTACTCAAAGATGCAGAAGGACAACACTGGCCTTAAGGAGGTAGTAGCTATGTCTTCAGGAAATTAAGCCCTGTCTTCTTTGCTGGGTGAATAAAACAAAATGAGGCCCTTTCTGCCTCTCTAATCAGGCCATGTCTCTACTTGGAGGATTATTAATGGAGACTGATTGAGATCACTGCTGCCTCCCACCTGAAATACATCAGGTGTTAGTTCAGCCACATTTCCACACTGAGAGCTCTGGGTAGCCTCTACCAAAACATAAAGCCAACAGCATGCTTACATACATGTCTACATGTCACAACATACTACATGCCTAACAAAGGCCTCAGCAATTTTCCTGCATTGTTAACAGTGCACATGCTCCTGTTTCCACATTGCTTCTTTACAACAACAACACAGACAGGAAGACGGTTGTGGTCATTTTGTCCTGTGATTCCCGCATCATAGAAGTCAGATGTATATTTGTTCCTACAAGAACATCACGCTTGCTCTTCCATGGTGATTTTTTCTCCTCACTCATGTTGTTGAGCGTTTCTGAATGCTCCCCGCTCACTCTGCAGGCAGCCCGTCAGCACTTCTTTGACACAGTGCTTGGCAAATTTCATTGTTATGTCTTGTGAGGTTCAGAACCCATTTGTCACCGCTCAAGTTGATTTTATTACCTTCGTCTGCTCAGCAGGGCTGAAAGGTGAAACACACAAAGTGTCATTGTTTTCCAGACACCAAAACTAAATGTAAATGTGTTTGTGATGGTGATTAATGTCAGAGGCAGGATGGGTGTGTAGGAGAGATGATTTGTCAGTACTGATCAGTAAGACGTGTGACTCATGCACAATCCGATCAGGTCGCCTCTTTGTGTTTCACTTGTTCTCTCTGAAGTTCAATGTGCATAAAAAGGAAAACTGGCTAAAAAATGTTTCAAATACTTTTTTTTTTTTTTTAAAAAAGGTAAAACAAGTATAATAATATTAATGTTTGAATTTGTTCACATATTAAAAGTGAAGCTCATCCATGTACATGTGGTTGTTTGTGGTGTGCAGAGCAGCACCACTCTTTAATGTGTGTTTATGTAGACAAAGAGCAGCTCTGGTCTCCAGTCAGCTGCCGTTCAGCTCTCTGGAGCCAGATAAACATAATGACGCTAATAAGTCACATTTATCGCAGGCTGCAGCTGACAGGCGGTTTACCAGTTTATGTGCATCGGGCTCAGAGTTTGGCTGTGAAAGATCATCACACACTAGTGATGTTAGTAACAGCATCATTTATAATTGTAAATACTGGTTTTGGAGCCTCAGCTTACCAGTGTCTTCCTTATTGATTCATTTGTGCGTTATTTTCTATTGCATACCGTGTCATGAAAGAATGAACAGTTTTTCAGAATCCAAGTCAATAAATTCACGTCTCACTTTGACAATAAACATAACCCAAAGATACTGAATTTAATATCATAGAATGCTGAAAACAAATCTGCAGATGTTCACATTTTAGAAGCTTGAAGCAGAGAATCTTTCATTTTTACTTTAACATGACTCGTTTCAGTTATTACTAATTGTTATTAATCATTTCTAGAACTGAAAATTAGTCGTCAGGTTAATATCACAAATCACAATCATGCAGTTTTCTCTATCAGACAAAAGCACAGCAGAATGGTTGCTCATGCCTCGATCCATGTCAGCAACTTATACCAGTCAATGTCGGAGTGGTGATCGAAACACCTGATTCAGCGATCCACCGTTTTCCAGCACAGCACCACAGCCTTGGATTTGTGGATGCTAGTTTTTATCCCAAACACTTTATGCTCAAAGCCACTCAAGTGTGCATCAGAGGTCACAGGTCAGTGAAGGCAAAAGAACGTCGTCAGCAAAAAGTAGGAGTGCAATCTTGAGGTGACCACATTGGACTCTTCCTCTGCACCTTCAGATTAAACATGTCCATGAAGTAGATGCTGAGTGAGGCTGTTCTGTAAACTGGAGCTTATATAAATGTTTTTACTAAAACATTGCATATTTTTGCAGTTTGCTTTAACTGTAAACTCCACACTCACAACTCCGTATAGGTCTGACCTAATGACACCGAAGAAAAGCTGGAACATACAACTCACTCATTTCCGTCAGCACTCACAAACTTTTTTTTAAAAAGATGATATAATTATAGCAACCTGCACATTAAAGGATTCATTAGAACTGACAGTAATCTTTGATGTGGTCCCTCCTCTCTCTGCAGCTGTGTATGCCTAAAGGCCTGTCGTTCAGGACGCAGGCGGACCAGCGTCATCCTCAGTTCCATTCCTTCATCATCACCAAGGAGGACGGCTCTCGGACCTACGGCTTCGTCCACACCTTCTACGAACAGGTTACCAGCCCACAGATCTGCTCTGCCATGCAGACCCTCTACCAGATGCACAATGCAGAGCACGCCTCCGCCAACCCCCCTTCCTCCTCCTCGTCCTCCTCCTCCAGTATGGACTCTCTGGCCAGCAGTTTAGACGAAGCCGACTCCCCCACCTCCTCGTCCTCCACATCTTCGTCTCGTGCAGCAGGCACCTATGACTCGTCACGGGACACCCTCTACGTGTCCAAGGCCTTGTGTCTGATCACACCCATGCCCTTCATGCACGCTTGTCGCCACTTCCTGTCACAGCTACACAGAGCTGTTACAGCTGCCAGTGCACCCCCCCTGCCACTGGAAAGCTACGTTCACAACATCCTGTACGAGGTGCCGCTGCCTGCTCCAGGACGCTCGCTCAAGTTCCACGGTGTGTACGAGCCTATCGTTTGTCAGAGGCCTGGGCCGGGGGAGCTGCCGCTGGCTGACTTCCCCCTGGCAGAAGCTTTCGGTCTGCTGGGAGTGGAGAACCTGGTCCAGGTGTTCACCTGCACCCTGCTGGAGATGCAGATCCTGCTGTACTCACAGGGTGAGTATCAGTACACGTGCTGTGATGCTAATGTTTTGAGAATGCAGGCAAATAAAGTATTGTAAAATATTTTTACACACACACACACAGTCAGCATCCAGAATTCTCAGCAGTCATGGGGTAATGTGGTATTGACCGTGGTCTGGTCACTTTATGCTTATAAGCTTTCAGCCTGAGCTGACCTACTCGATCCTGTTTAAAGAGATTTTGACTTGAGAGAAGTGGGTTGATCTAAAAAAAAACACAGCGCGGAGTGATGTTGTAATAGTTCAGTATTTGTTGATGTGACACTCTGTAGTCGCTGGAGCTCGTTGTAGAGAGATGGATGTAGGTGTTTAGTTGAAAGTTCAAAAGTTGTGCTGGCTGTGAGGAAGCTTGTTTAAATATAGTATGTCTTGTTTTATGAACTACTAAGATGTGAGGCAGGAGAAACTCTTACCCAGTTAAAAGAGGACAATGGAGAGACTCATCAGGAAGAATCTGTGAAGCTCTCCAACACTTCAGCCACATACAGACTGAGTGAGACAACGATCAAATTATCCTCATTCTAGGATTCCCTTCATCCATTATTGAGACACTATCGTAGATGTGTGTGTTTTGCTCACTGTGTTGGAGCACATTACCCCAACTTGTAGAGAATCCGTTCTGCAGACTGAGATCACGCTCTGTCCTACATTCCTCTGGCCTCCTCCTTCTCAGTTTCACTGCAGCTCAAACTCTAACACTCTTTCTGCAGCTTCTTTGTTTGTCTCCTTTACAGGATGACTCATGTAGAAATGCGTTCAGCTCAATGTTCTCTGTCAGTGAACGTCAGATGTGATGTCTTTTTACGACAATAGCATGTTTTTCTACAGACATTCTAAACAGAGCGGTGGGGAGTGATTGTTCTTTTTAAGATTTATTTAAAAACACAAAATTTTATTTTGAAAATATGTCACAAAGCAGTAATAGGAAGCAGATTTGTACAACAGATAACGACACACATGAAGTGTGTTTGACTTCAACACCCACTGAACCCTGGAATAGTAGCAGACAGAAACATCAGATCAGTGTGCAGCAGTAGGAACAGAGATGTCATTTTTCCACTTGGGGTATAGCAGTGCGTCTAACTGTCTGGAGCTATTCGGTGTAGGACGTTCCTTTTGGGATGACATTTCCACAGATTGCTGTCAGAAGCCCGTTTACGTCTAACTACCGTCCTCCCAAACGACAATCTGAGCAAAAGTAAAAATAAAAGGCCACTACTTTGGGTAGTTCTAAAGCTGAAACTGCACTGCTGGTGTTAATGATTCGTTTACAACAATCAGCTGCAACGTTTAACCCACCTGCCTGACATTGTGCAGGGCCTCTTTGTGCTGCCAAAGTGCTGTGCTCTGTGTTTGACGCCCCTGAACACAATCACTCTCATTATCACAATATCTGAAGCACTTTAATGGTTGAAGAGGCGTCATTTCAGTGACAGCTTCCACTCTAAAAAAAACCTCAGCTCAGACTAACACAAAGACAGAAGATATATAAAATGAGCAGATTTGAAATGTCTAAATAATCTTTTCATACAAGGTAGTTTAAACCAAAAGTGAACAACTCAACAAAACAAAGGGAAGACAGTGTTAGTGTAGTGTACGACTCTTTGTCTGCTGAATTTAAGTGGTGCTGGAAAATGTTAGCTGAAGCACTGCTCCTATCTCATCCCATCATCCTTTCATGAAAAATGGGTCTCTGTTTTATTCATCACTGTCAGCGTCAAAGGCAATCGCTCCTGGAGGGGAACAACCTCACTTGAGTGAAATATATCCCAGGTTTTTTTTAAGTGTTCCTCATTTCCCACAGGGGATCACTGCTGGCAGACAGCCTGGGCTCTAACTGTTGACACGTCTGTCCAAATGAGCCCTAATTTCTTTGTAATGAGAGGGAGGAAAACCCTGCGCAGAGCCTCGTTTTGCTGGAGGCAAGTGATGGAAAGGTTCAGTACAGGAGGAATATGGAGAGCATTCCCCTGGATGTTAATGAGGCGCTGCTCTGCCATATGTTCCAACGCTCGTCCTGATCAATCAACAGCCAATTACACCGTGACAGACAGAGGCATCGTCTGACCCCCGAAACCTGTCCTCCTCACACACTTACCGGCCGTGACAGGTAGGCAGGATAGTGATGGGCGGGTGTCTCCTCCACTTACGGGGCGCAGCAGGGGATGAGGCTGGGCCATTTCACTTCATTGGATATATGGTAATGAGTGGAGGTGATTTGCATTTCTGGCAGGTGTGTCCGCTTGGCAGCCTGTCAATGCACAGAGGGACCGAATGTACAAATGCATGTCCAAAAATCAGAACATTCAGAAAAAGCTTAACGTAAAAAAAAAAAAAAAAAATATATATATATATATATATTTTAGGGTGAAAATTGTATGTACTTGAATTGTAAAATGAAATACTTGAAGCCTTTTTAGGTTTTAATTTTGATGATTATGGCTCCCAGCTCATGAAAATCCGGTTTGGCTCAGCAGCTGTAGTCAACTGTAATCACTCATAAGGAGTTACTAGGTCATGCCCCTTAAAAAGAGTGACTAACAGAGCTTTCTACATCACCACAACTTGTGTTTCAAGTCACTGCGTGTATGTTTTTGACCGAGCAAGATTTTTTCCCAGACGTCCTATAATAAACCTATGGAAGATTTATTGTAAAGATTTTTGATGATAAAGACATGTGCCACATTTCATCATAAAAATGAGGAGCTGTAGGAGTCTGCCATGGTTTACGTGGTCCTTACACATGTGTATATGTTTTTGTTCATGACTGTACATAGCAACGTCCAGCCACTGTAAAGGCTGTAAAGAAAGCACAACCATAAACACAAGCGCAATGTTGCTGGATGGTATCAGCTTCACAGACAACTGTTAGAGCAATCTGCCCAATGATAGTAATTAGAGGAGGCATCAGTGTGTAGGACTGTGTGAACCAGCCTGTGAAGGTCATCATGCTGAACTGTCATGACCTCTCCTGATATTCACACAATAGACACAACGACACTACGACTCTACAATAAAACATCTGGCCTCTGTCACATACTCACTTTCTCCATGGAGGCCTCTGTTTGATTTCTCTGTTTTTTGGCTGCTCATGTACGTAGTTCTCCACTATTTTGATATTGTCATACGTAGTGTGCGTTTTCTCAGTCCAGTTGACTTTCACGCAGCTTTGGTGATTTTTTGCTTTGTTTTCTTAGTGTGTCCTGAGATGCTTCTCTTAAGAAGCTTTATTTTCTTTGTGACCTTTCCTTACTAGCAGTAACATTGTCATGTTGCAGCTGTAGATCAAATAATGTCATCTGTTTACCACAAACTTCTTCCCGTGTGGGACTGAGCTGCATGTCGTTATCAGTTCCTGATGCACTGTTAGAGTTTCACAATGACTAGACGTGTCCCGTCCTGCGTTTTTTGAGGCCCGTAGCAGCATCAGAAACATGCAGCATCCCTTCGCTCTGCCTCTGCCGGGACTTTCTGCAGCGCTGTGCTTTTCCATATCAGATTTGTTTCTTTTTGCATGATCACTTGTTTGTGCACCTATTACAGGCGCTTGTACTTGTCATCTTTCAAAGGGAGTTTCTTTGCAATGTAGCCAGTGTTGTTAGAGATGAATCATCCCTTTTGAAAGGAGCACCCGTGGCAAAAACAGAAATGATGAATCAGTTCAGATCAGTGCAGCAAGAGGAGAAAATAAAATCAGTCACTGTTAAATTTCTTTCCTCATCGTCCTCTCGTTTTTCCACATAAAGCCTCTCTGTGTGAGTTTGATGTGTGTCAGTGTGAGGAAAGGGAAGAGGGTGAAATTCATCGAGTGTGACAGAATATCACTGACGGGGAAGCACTTTTCTGTGACATGTCAGATTAAAACAGCAAGTGTTAATGAAGCCGACTGAGACGCCGTGGCTAAACTTATCCTGGTGTGATACGAGCGTGAAGGGGAACGGGCAGGAAGGGATTTGCTGTAACGTGTAAAAGAAACAGGAGTGTTTCAGTCAGACTCGTTTGCTGCAGTTCCCACAGAAAGGCTTGTGTGGGAGAAACTTTGAACCTGTTCAGACTTGATAGATACAAAGCAAATAGAGACATTCAGCCGCACACCCCCCCGAGTAGGATCTCTGACGAGGAGTCCTCTTGCAGTGTGGCATAGATCTCGTGGTACAAATGAAGCACTGAGATGAAAAGATAGCTGCAGAAAAGAAAGTTATCGGAGGAAACAGGAACTCAGAACACCTTGAGCTTGTACAGAAAGCCATTTTCAGCAAGTTTCAGCTGAATAAGTGGACCGCTGCAACAGCTATGAGCTCTGAGGCTGTGCTGCAGCGCTGCGAGCTAAATGCTAACATGCTCACAGTGACAGTGCTGCATACTGATGCTTAACAGATGTAATACCTTAAATTAAGAGTAGGGTATGTGCTCTAATTTAAAATAAATAAAAACCAAATGAAATCATTGTCCTGCTATTTTTCAAAGACTTGTTTTTTTGTTTGTTTTTTTGGGGTTTTTTTGCTGCTAATTGCCAGCGGGGTAGTGTTGCTCTACCTTTCTCTTGTTTCCAGTCATACATACACAGGTACATAGTGAGGGAAGAAACTGTGAGAAAGACGGCAAAGAACAAAGAGATAGAAATAAATCCACAGCACACACATGTTCTGTTTTTCCTGTCGCTACATGCCTGTCACCAGCCTCGTGCTTTGTTCAGCCTGCTGATGACTAGCAGGGTGAATTAGAGTTGTTTATTGCTCCTCTCCAAACAGCTGTGACACTAATGCTTGGTTTGTTCTTTGAGCTGCTCATCATTAGCACCCTAGAGGTGCACATGAAGACACACTTGATGCTGCTGATGAACTTCCACACATACTTTCCCCAGATTCTGCTCCCTGTTACCTCTGAAAACACGCCAAGGAATAAGACGCGTGTCGACTCTGGTGTACTGGAGTGTGACATGTACTCTGCCATAACTTTAACCTACTTTATCTGCAACTGGATCTTTACGGCAGTTGTTCATCCAGTTTCATTTGAGCACATATATATGTATGTGTATATATACTGTCATACTAGACGGAATGAAAGGAAATGACCAAAGGGAAGGCAAGCACAGAAAGCATCTGGCTGATTGAATAAATTGGTATAACTCAGTCATGTTTTGTTTGTTTTTTTTATTGCCTTTTCCTTGAGGTTGTGCAGACTTTACGCTCTGGCCATCGTAATAACATCTAATGAAACTGCTGCTGAACTCAATACTAAAGCCAGCTTGCACCCACTGGCCTTAATCTGATTTAGAGACCAGGAGAGGGAATACTCTCGACGTACACACATGAAAACATGATTGAAAAGAATCCATCACAATGTAATTCCTCGGGTTTTGAACTCAAAGTCACTCTCAGATTCAGTTTGAATCACCTGATTACGTCCCTCCTCCACATTAATACTCTCACTATATGTGCTTATGTATTTCATAAACCTCTTATTCTGTCTCCCCCACTCCCTCTGGTCGCTTCTGTCGAGTGTGTTACAGTAAAGCCATCCTCATATAGGTAGTAACTCTATGTAATATTCTGAATTTATCTTCTCTTTCTCACAATTCAACCCTTAATCTCCAGAGTCGACCTGACAGGTCTCTTTCATTATCACTGCTCTGTGGTAATGAGCTCCTTCTGTCGTTCAGAAACTTCTAAAAACACACCAATGTTTTGGTAAAGAGCTCGTCTGTGCTTTTTCCCTCCATGTTTGATCAGGTTTAGACGTGTAGATTGCCACTTTTAGCCTGTTCCTCGTATAATCGTGACTCTTTCTGTGTGTCTCTTAGACTACCAGCGGTTGATGACCGTGGCAGAGGGCATCACCACCTTGCTGTTTCCCTTCCAGTGGCAGCACGTTTATGTTCCCATCCTGCCAGCCTCCCTCCTTCACTTCCTGGATGCACCTGTTCCCTACCTGATGGGCCTACAGTCCAAAGAAGGCACTGATCGCTCCAAACTTGAGCTTCCTCAGGAGGTACAGTACCAGCCTGTCTACTGTTCATAATGACTGTTTAGTCAGACAGGTTCAACACCTTTTTCAGTCTCGGTGAAAACTATAATCCTTCCAGACATCACTGAAGATCTTGGAAAAATGATGCTTAACCCTTGACTTCTTTTCCAATAACCCAAGAGGCACTGGTTTAGTCCTCACTTATAAGATTTAATAATGGATATAACTCTGAAACTTGTACTGGGCGTAAAATCAGATTTTACAAATGAGTAGGTAATCCAGTTTAAAGCACTGTTAGCGAGGTAGTTTTTCACCAAGTGCCTCCAGAACAGCTTCAGTTGTCCTCATCTTAGAGTCTCTTAGTGTTTGGAACTTGACTGAAGGGATGGCGAGCGCTCTTCAAAAAGACGCTACCTCATCTGGTGTTTTGATGATGGTGACACAGAGCGCTGTGCAGCATGTCTCATAGGTGTTCAGTGGGATTGGCAAGAAATGCTGAGAAGTAATGAGGTTTGTTTCCTCATTACTCCACAGACGAGTGCTGCATGTGTTCCTGCTGAGCAGATACATCAGTCAGATACGACTTACACATTAATGCGTTTTCATGCAGAGCATTTTTCTAATAATATGTCTGGACCTTTACTTCAGTGGTACTTTTAGATTATTGGATTGGTACATTTACTTGAATAAATGACCTGAGTCCTGTTTTCACTGCTGTTGACTGTAGGTCCTGCTGTTTACATGTGAATCCTGGGCCTTGATGTCACACTTAGTAGTGAGAAATGAGGACGTTACCTTGACTTTGGGTTTAGGTTTGCCCAGGGCAAAGACATGCAAGTGAGAAAAGCATTTGAGTTGATCTGGATTTTGACATTAGCTCAGGGTTTAATGCTTGTGAATGAATCAGGTTTAGACTCTGTAAGGCTCAGTGAGTGTATAACGTACAACAGGAGGATCCCAAAAGAATCATAAGTTAAGCAACAGTTTGCAGTCAGGACTGTTGACAATACATTGTCCAAGGCCAAACGTGAACAACAGCACCAGCATAACACACACACACACACACACACACACACACACAGGAGGCAGACTACGGGGCTCCTGTTCAGACAAACAGGAAATGACAAAGAACACCTGTCTGTTCTAAATGAAATTCTGTACCTTATCTAGCTACACACACACACACACACACACACACACACACACATCCAGCAGACCTTTTCACAGCAGACACTTTGACTTGTCACAGCAGAAAAAGCACAGGGGAGACCAATTTCATTACTGATGGCTCTATTCCATCGAGTGTCCCAGTAAGCCGTGACAATAGGCCAGCATGTATAGGAGCAGGACTCTGGAGTCTACGCAGCTGAATGGGATTCAGCCATTTTTAATGACATTAGTAACACCTGTGCTTTTCCTGCCAGCTAAACGTTGGCTGTGAAAAGGGTCTATTGAACAGAGAATTACCCGCATTCATGTACAAATTCAGCTCAAGGCAAAGTGAGTCTGAAGTGGACTGTCTTTGTGGCTCCATTCTTCCTGCCTTTTTATTTCAGCCCCAGTCAGACAGTGAGAAGGTGAATGATGGCTCTGAACCAGTGTTTAGCCCAGCGCGGGGTTACAGTTAATATGAATGTGTGTATTCATGTGTTAAGGCGAGATAAGGCCCTAACAAAGCGGAACATCCAGGCTCGCCGGTTTCCGGCTTTGCTTACATCCCGCACGACTCCAAGCGCTCATTAATCCGGCACATTCCGTATGGATGCTAATTATCCCAGCCAGCACAGGATGCTGCTACAGAGCGCACACAAGCCGCCTCGGCCGATCCCCCCACACCCGGGAACCCCCGCCTAAAAGGATTGGAGAATCTCCCTGTGTTTCTAAATGATCCTTTGAAGTAGTGTTGACCTAGAAATGGGCTGGTGATGAAAGAATGGCTTAAAGCAAAGCAGAGGGGCAATGATGTGAGAGAGGAAAATATGGATGTAGTTGGGGAATTATTGCCAGACAGGGTTTTTCCTTTTAACTCTGTTCTTTCATACAGAGTTTCTGTTTTTTACGTGATTCCTAATGATGACATATCATCTACATCACACTGTCATCAGAAGGATTTCATATTTGTCTCCTCCAGCTCTTTGCCTGAGTATCGCTAATGGGCTCTACATCCAAACTGGGGCATTCTTTCTGCAGGGAAAAAGGAATTGCAGAGTTTGTTTGAGTTCATCCAGCAATTTTTTTTTTTCCAACCAAGTGGATGGCCTTCTGTACTGTAGACCTACAGAGGCTACGTGAACACACGTACACCTCACCTAATGTAGCTGTTTTTTTTTTTTTTTTAACTATCATTCAAGAACATTTTAGTTTTCTTATCCCAAATGTCCCCTGATTTAGCAGTAAACTCTCCTACCCCCGCTGCACTTTGAACACTTTATAGAGATACTGTGTGACTGCGGTGTATCCTGCCCTTCTAAAACCTGACTGCAGGCTTTACACGGAAGATGAAGCCGAAATCCTGTCCTGTTCATTATCATTCAAGTCTGGTTGTCAGTCGATTTTAGCTTTGATCTTCAGAGCTGATGCTTTGCAGTGCGTTTGGCAGTCAGCAGCCAAAAGTCACCAGCACATGGACACACCACACCCTGGGGTCAGATTAGAATCAGAAGGTCCGTTATCACTCCTATTCTCCCAGACGCATGCACGCTCATTCCCATTTGCATGGTTTTGTGTGGTTTCAATCTCTCACACAGAGATTAGAGGTTTTACTTTAAGCCCACATGAGGGTGTGATTCTAACTCTATTATGTCAGATTTAGGTTGATCTCTGAGAATGTGCTATTATCAATCACATACTGGCCTACATTCTCTGTACCCTACATCTCCCAACCTCCATCAAACCACCTAAAACCAATCTGTCCTCAGTATGCCTCCTGATAATACCTGCCCCAGCTCGCTGTTTCTGCTGTCAACAGCCCGCAGAGGACACTTTCATTATATCGTAATATCAGTGCTGAAAATGTTGCCCTTATGTCTTGAATGCTCTGTTTGATGATATTAACACCTTTTCCTGCCCCAGGCCAACCTGTGTTTTGTGGACATTGACAACCACTACATCGAGCTCCCAGAGGACTTCCCCCAGTTCCCCAACAAGCCCGAGTTCATCCAGGAGCTCCGTGAAGTGCTGTTGAGTTTTGGGATCACAGACAACACAGGCGCCCCACCGCGGACCCGCTCCAGTCCCAGCAGCACCCCATCCACCCCGGGGAGGGAGCGCAAGACCACCGCTTTCCGGCAGCTGGAGGATGACGGACGAAATGGCAACCTGGCAGGAGAGGAGCTGGCTGTGTTGGAGCTGCTACAGGGAAACGCCACCTTGGAGAGACTGCAGGCGCTGACTAAGCGCACAGGGGTGACTGTGGCCCGCGTGGAGGCCCTGAGGGCCGGAGTCAAAGCTCAGGACACTGAGGGACAAGGAGGCCGGACAGCTGCCGAAGAGGAGGAGCTGAGGAAGGCCAAGCTAAACATTCAGCTGAGGGAGGTGTTCGCCGGCCGCTTCACCACCATGTTTGCAGATTACGAAGCCTTTGTCATCCAGAGCGCCCCGGATCTGGACTCCTGGCTCACCAACAGAGAGCAAATGCACAACTTTGACAAGGTACAACATTCATTGTGCAGCGTATTTATGCTCCAACTTTAAACAGACATTTCTTCTTTCTCAGGCTATTTCTTGGTGCTGCATGAATAATTATTAGATTGTGTGTAACACTGGGAAACAAACTCAGTTTCAATGTTGTGTTCCTACAAGGTTAATCATAGCTTGTGTTTAGAGCAGTGCAGGGATTGTAAATGACAGTATGTCAAACACCGTCTACTGCAGAGTTTTGAAAACATCTGGCTGCTATGAACAGAATAGAATTTCACATTTACCAGAAAATGTTTTTTACCTCAAGGCGTCGTTCCTGTCAGACCAGCCGGAGCCCTACCTTCCTTTTCTGTCCCACTTCATTGAGACGCAGATGTTCGCCACCTTCATTGACAACAAGATCATGTCCCAGTGGGAGGAGAAGGAGCCGCTGCTCCGCGTCTTTGACACTCGTATCGACAAGGCGCGCCTCTACAACGTCCGCGCCCCCAGCCTCCGATCCTCAAGCTACCAGAGGTGCTCTGTTCTGAAGGAGTGTGGTAAGTTCAGCAGAGAGACGCACCGGCATGCGTTAGTATGATTCAGTTTTTTGGACACATTAACATTGGATTTAAATTTGAGCAACAGTGTTTGGAAACGTACAATCTGCACGCAGCACAAGTTTCTGTGTCCTTCATGCAGCCGTCCATTAGCCGAGGTCAGACGGGATTCACTGTGCTGTGCAATTTACAAACACTCAGGATCCATCTCCTTGCCCTCCTCTCTCTTCCTCCCTCCCTACTCGTCTCATTTATCGTGTGGAAGCAGCACATCTCTCCCCAGTGACCAGAAAGCCCTGCTCCTCACTGCCCTGCATCCCAGCACAGCAAACACTCCATCACTCGCCCTCATACATACAAGCACAAGCACACGCTCTCTGACACTGTGTTACTGTAGAACTGTTTGCTCAGGTCTTTTTTCTTAATTTCTCAATTAGTGCTGTTAGGGTTGATCTTTGTTAAGCTTTAATTGGTGCTGAATGCGCAGTGTGAGGCAGGAGGTCAGACTCAGGACTGACTCAGACTGTTGAAGGCCAACAGGGAATCTGTGAGGCTGCAGTGTGAATGTTTCTGCTGTAATGATGTTCATGCAAGTGTAGAAAAGCAGAAATACAGACAGGTAATATGTCTTTGAACATTAAGAACCAAAGGGTGGAAAATGTGTGTCAATATATGGTGTGCTAATTTAATTAATCAGACTCTTTGGTGGCTGTTTCACTTTTTAAAATGTTCATGATGCTGCTAGTTTGAATAAAAACAAACCAGAGACTGAGCTACAGCTATCTAATACCGGTCTAAGAGTAGTCTCAAGTAGTCTTAGCTAAAGCTAATTATTGCCGTTTTCTGACCTTTTTGTTGTATTTAATGAATGCGTTCTAATGCTACAACAGCAGGCATTTTTTTTCCTATTATATAATTAAAGCAGTGATTTCCTGCTCAGAACTAACTAACCCAGCCAAGGTGCAAAAGTAATCATTCTAATTAATCACTCCATGATTGTTTTAGATTTTAATGTATGTTTTTTAGGTAAACAGCCTTCAGACTTTCCTCCTCAGTGTCTGTGTGACCACTCCTGTCTCACCTGTGTAGCTTGAAGCAGAACTCATTGACAAATCTGTCATGACACTCAATGGAAATGTTGTTGTTGTTTTTTTTTAAATTGGAACTAGGAAAGATAAACATCATGTGCTCATAAAAATAGCACAATAGCATGAGTTGGTATGAATTCTTTCTGGGAATGTCACTTTTTTATTGCTATTTATCAACGCAAATTGAATCCACAGACAGATTTGTTTTCAACATTATTTTTAGCATGTTTGCCTTTATTCAGAAAGTGCAGTATAAGCAGACAGGAAATATGAGAATGGAGAGCAGGGGATCTACATGCAGTAAAGCTGAACCGGGGACTCACTACTAATGGCCTTTGGGATACGGCGTATGCACTGCAACCCACGCAGGAGATTGTTTTCGATCTTTTCATCTCATCTCAGATTATTTCACTCACATCAGTTCCCTGCATGCTCTGTTGTTTTCTGATGTGTGCGCCCGTGCATGACGTCTGTCTGCGACCTGCACTATTTCGTGCTAATGGGCCGAGCGATGTAAAGCGTTAATTGCTGAGGGTGAGCTCATTTGGAGGCGATAGTGCATGCACGTACCCAATTACTCATACAATACGGCCCTTCCCTCTGCCTGCCCCTGCGGCGACTCACTCCAATGCCTCCGCTTGCCGCTCACCCCACAGCTCAGATTAATACTGCAGCTTCTGTTTGAGGAGTTTAGTCAGACACAAAACAAGATCAACATGACCCAGACGGTTGGACAACAAGCAGAGTGGCTCTGACAAACACCAAATTAGGATGCAGTGTGTTGGCTGTTGCTGCTGTGTGTGATTTTAAAGTAGATGAAGCATCCGGAGTGAAAAGATGGTCAGATCGGGTCTCTAGGGAGAGTGAGTAGGTCATGATGACTCAGAGAGAGACAGGAGGACAGCAGATCTCATGCTGTGATTTATAATGTAAACAACATGGTTTGAAGTCCAGCCAGGTTTCTCTTCTTGGTAAATGAGCAGATGTTACAGCATATTATACTTGCTTCACTGGGATGGGAGGCGTGTGCATGTACGCTTGCATTGGTTGTCGTGGTGACACATGTGGTTACACCTTTCTTTCACTGCACTCTCATGCATGTGATCACACACATTGTTCCGTTTTATTGCAGCTTAATTATTGCTTTAATAATTTAGGATATCATTACTTTTTAAGAGGCGCTCAGTTTCCTTTAATGTATTACCCTGCATGCACACACCACCAGAGGGCAGTTATCGCACAGACAAATCGAGGGGCAGCTGAGCTGAGAGGGATAGTAAGCACCGGTGAGGAGTCAGGACTTTCTCTTTAAGAATATTTAAGGTTAAGATTTGTTAAGACAAGTGAGCCAGCCAAGATACACGACGTTTACACTTGTTTTGGCACCAGTGTTGTTTGCAAATGACAGCAGCATGTCAGGCTTTATTGTTCAAGGTGCCCACCCACTTCAGAACATAGAGATGCCCTCTACATATATTACGTTTTCTTTCTGTAATGTAAAACCTGATGAATCATTGAGTCTGTTCTGTTTACAGCTCAGGCCATGGAGCAGCGGCTGATAAAGATCGACCACACAGCCATCCACCCACACCTGCTGGACATGAAGATTGGTCAGGGCAAATACGAGCAGGGCTTCTTCCCCAAACTGCAGGCTGATGTGCTTAACACTGGACCGACCAATAACAAGTGAGCATTTTGCAAAGCCACTATCAAGCAGCCCTGGTCAGAGAAGCTTTGAGCAGGGCCAGGCTAGCTGTCCCTCCCTGCTCCAGTCTTTATGCTAAGCTGTACCCTAACCCCAACCCAACATGTTAAATATGTTTAAACTGTCAGCCACAGTACAACTCACTTTATCTCTGGCAGCACTAGAAGTTCTTGTTTTTTGTAAAAGTTTAAATGTAAATGTGAACAACATAAGTGGGTTGCCATTTATTTTATAGCTAAACAGGATAGAATGAGCCCTCTGCTAATGATAATACAGTTACTCACCTTCCACTGTTTCAAACTGAGGAGGACATGACAACAGATGTCTTTTATGAGGTATTTGCTATTCCATAGGTAGCAGATATGTTTGTTTCCCCCTATTCAGATGCATTTAACTACTGAGCCATGGAGAAACAAAGGCTTTCTCCTTCTCTCTATTTAGAGGCACATGTTTCTGTGAATATCAAATGATTTTTTTAAGGCTTTTGGAAATGATAAAATAAATGTATTTTAACGACATGGTGTTTGGCGTGCAGGTGGTCTCACAGGACAGCGACAGCTCAGCGCAGAAAAGATCGCCACAGACAACAAACAGAGCATCTGACCCTTGATAACGACCTGAAAGAGGTAGAAACCCTCCTGACAGCCGTCCTGTACCCTGCCCTCTGAATGCCCCCTCCTCTCCGTTGGTCTCTAACAATGTCATGTCTTTATTTTCTTTATTATTATTTTGTCTCTTCTTTTTGTTCTGTAGCTGAGTTCATGTCAGTTTCTGTTTCAGTTTTCTTTGTTTCATTTGATTCCTCAGTTAAGACTTCATGTGCATGCTGCCTTCTCTTTTCTTTTCCATTCTTCTCTTTGCTTCTGTACTCTCCCGTCTGCTCGTGTCACTGTACCCGGTGGTCGGGTCGTACCACTCTTCCTCCGCCAGCAGGTGGACGGCTGTCTGGTCCTGCAGAACTCCATGGCGTTTTGGGAGTGGGACAATGCGTCCCCTCCACCTGTCAAACCGCCAAAAAAATCAGCCTCTGCATCCTGCCTGGTATGTGCAGGAGCTGCCTGTGTAGTGGAATCCTTTTCACAGACCCTGCATCTACCCCCACCTCCACCTTCACCTGTACTCCCCACACTCCCAGCCTCAACTTTGTTACACTTCATACCTAATACTTCTCCTGCAACTCTTCAGTTGTGGATTTGTTTTAAATTGTATTCTGCAAGATTTTAGTCTTGCCTGACTGGGAGACACACGCAGCTACTTCAGCAGCGACAGCTGAATACTACAGCAAACACTTGTTGAGCAGATGCTTTGTAAAAATACAGCCAAAGAGCAGCTGATAATCAAAGCTAAAAACAAGTCCGTCACTAATCTGATTTCATGCTGCACACAGTGCACGTAGCTTCCCAGACCGTAGCAGGACGCAGTACAGTTGGTCATGTAGTGGAGGAGTTGGAGGTGTGCAGCCTGGAGCCAGCTTTCATGACTACTGCTTTATCTTTCACTCCTCACTGATGCATTTACAGCTCAACTACTGCCACAATGATGACTGGTGTCTTGTTTTATGGATGCAATTTAATGAATAATTTTGGTTACTATTTACTTCACAAATACGCCAGTCGAGCACTTGGTGGATTCTGGAGAAAGATGTTTGTATTTAGCAGGTTCACTCCCTCTGCCCCCTTTATCCCCGTCTCACCTCCATCTTCCTTCCCCTTTGTCCTGTGCATGAGCACAAACACACACAGGACACGCTGCAGTAGTGGTACGTGGACGTTTTTTTCAGCGCACACATGAAATGGACAGCGAGCAGACTGTGAGGAGATATTTGCTGTATGTGACAACAAGTCTACTAGATTGAAAACCAGAACTCTGCCTTTAATGTGAAGCAACAGCAGTAAGAAAAGCTCTGTTTGCAGGACCAGTGGCTTGCATACAGATTACAGAGTGATCAGTGAGGCTGATATCAGAGAGATGTATCGTTTCTTGGTAATCCATGATGCTCGGCAGTCAGAATCTGCTGCAGAAACATAGAAAGACGATTACTGATATTAGCTTTCATTTACTGACTTCAGGTGGATGCTGTTTCGATTCATATTTACACGATAGTTCTCTTTTCGATGTTTTTTGTCAGATACCAGTATAACAGGTATACAGTATATTGATTTAATTGCAGTTCATAAATGCTATATACCAGCTAGCTGATAAAACTTTTCATTTTTTATTTGAGTAAACGTAAACTGTATACCCCTGTGGTCAGTATTGTCACAACGAGGACGGAACATACGTGACCGAAGCCGTTCACCATCCTTTTTATGGAACAGTGTGTAGTCCAACACAGCAGAGTTATATGAGGTTGATTAGTGAGATGTCCATTTCTTCAAAGCTTAGCATCTCAAGACTGTTTGGAATTAGACAACATTTATTTCCCCTCACCTGGAAAATAACTGATGGTAGCAGTTTTAATGAAATAAAGAGATTTAAGTCTGAAACGTCACTGTTATGCTGGTAGGGCCAGATCCTTGGAAGTCCTCTGAGCTGAAAGGTAAAATGAACTGAAGCTTATTTCAGTAAAGCGCTCTGATCTATGGCACATCATTTAAACCCCTTTCATAGCTTCAGAGGAACACTGCTTTCCTCCTGGCACAACCACTGTTAAAGAAGCATGACAGCAGCCCTGTGTAGCATCACTCACATAAATCCTGTCCTTTTCAGTTTCTTACATTAAAAACAAATCTTAGTCTTTGTCATACTTACAGTACAATGCAACACAATTGTAGTTGATGCAGAAAATGATCACTCAAAAAAGTTGTTTCGTCAGATAACGAGAAATGATCGACTTGTTTGTCCAAATACAGGCGCAAAGTTATAAAAGCTTCCTTTCACTGACAGTTTCACAGCATTTTCTCCAGAGCTCACTAACTGGCTTTGTCTGTTCTTCAGAAGTATATGCAGGAGGCCCGCAGCCTGGGGAAGAACCTGCGACAGCCCAAACTGTCTGACCTTTCCCCCGCCGTCATCGCCCAGACTAACTGGAAGTTTGTGGAGGGGCTGCTCAAGGAGTGTCGCATGAAGGTGAACCACATGAACCACAACATGTTGCTGCACTTAGAAGTGACCTGTGATTCATTGGTGCAGTCAGTCATTGGCTACTTGACACTATCACACACACGTGCGCACACACACACACACACACACACTTTGTGGTTCAAATTCAGGATATGGTTTATGAATTTTTATTTAAGTTACACATTTGATTACAAAAAACTCCCATGAGGTTAAACATGCTGATGGCTGATAGAGGCTCTGTCATGCAGGCCAGTTACTGTCACCTTTAAATAAGAAAGCTAATCTAACAGCGGAACCAAATGGAGAAGAAAGGGGAAAACATGCTTTTAAAAAAAGTGTTTTTTTTTAAAAATTTTTGTACTAATGTTTTTATTTGAGAAGTGTAAAGGGTTGATGCTAGATGCATCAGAAGAATTGTACGACCACCACAACAGGCCCGAGGTCAATAGCTGGACTCTCCTCCTCTGTGGTTCCCCGGTGGTGGAACGAGTTACCAAACTCTGTTCAATCTGATGATTCTCTGTCAGTCTTTAAGAAAGGACTAAAGAGCAGCTCTTCACTGAACACCTTTGCACTTGACAGACTGGAAACAAACAAAAAAAAATTCCTCTTACCTCCCTACAGCCTGCTACTGGCATCAACGCCCTGTCACACTTGAACTTGGTCTACGGCTCTTATCCAGATTGTTTTCTCCTGACCAGATCCTTGCTTGTGTTGTATTTACTCTCAGATGTACGTCACTTTGGATGAAAGCGTCTGCTAAATGAAACTGTAGAATTGTTGTTTCATCCAGTTTCACCGTATGATGGTAGAACTGTGAAACCAAATAAATAATATTTCTTATTTACTTGGTGGAAGGTTCAGTCGAACTTCAGAGCGTTTGTGGTCATTTATGGAGAAATTGGATTCCTTGTTTGGTCATTAGTTTAGTTGACTTAATATATTTTGGCACAGCTTCTGTAGAAGTGGTAACACTAGTGGTTGCTCTAATCATATGTGTGTGTGTGTGACCAGACCAAGCGTATGCTGGTGGAGAAGATGGGCCGGGAGGCAGTAGAGCTGGGCCACGGTGAGGCCAACATCACCGGACTGGAGGAGAACACTCTCATCGCCAGCCTGTGTGACCTGCTGGAGAGAATCTGGAGCCATGGGCTGCAGGTCAAGCAGGTCAGCACACACAGAAACATGTAGCTGCACACATTTATGAACTGCTGCACATGTGTGCAGCTTTCTTAATCAGATTTAGAATGAAGCAAAAGTAGTCAAATCAGGCACACATTGATATATCAGGAATTTAACAATATTGGACGTTGAGACTTTAGAAGAAGTTATTGCCTGATGAGTCCTCTATGTGTGCATGTGATCTGCCATCTCATCAGAAGCAACAGACTTTGTTTTGTTTGTTTGATGGTTTGATGGTGACTTTTGGCTTTCTGACACACATGGTCACCTCTCAGGGGAAGTCAGCCCTCTGGTCCCACCTGCTGCACTACCAGGCCCGGGAGGAAAAACTGGAGCAGCAGCACGCCGAATCACCAGGTCTCACCACACACACACACACACACACACGCATGCACGCACACAGATACACACATCTGACTCATCATGTCCTAAACCTGTCTTCTGCAGTGTCTAACGTTCCTGAGAGGAGGAAGTCTGATTGTTCTATAGCCATGCCGTTTCTACGTGTGTCCCTCATTCAGGATATGAGGTATGTGCTGCTGTCCTCTCGTAAAACAAGATGTTGTCAGAAATCCTCAACTTCCAGATATGTTACAGCATTCCTATGGTATACAGTCAAATTAGCAGAGAAAGAAAAAGAGATGAAGCAGCGTGGAGACTGTGTTCCCTTCACAACAGAATGCTGTTCTGTGCAAGCATGCTGCTTGCCTATATTAAAAAAAAAGAAACTCTACAGTTGCAGCTGTGATTATGTAGTTGCAGGGAGGTGCGCAGGAGTGCAGACCTGAGCTAGAAGCATCCAAACTTTATGTTCACGCTGGTTTTAAATGGTTGCATAATTACCTATGAAGTCTGAGGAAAGGTTTAAGTAGACGTGAATTTGCACAGGGTAGCAAATATTCAGTGGCTGGATTGAAAAAATGGATTTAGGCAAGTTTTTACACTAAATGGAACTTTAATACAAGTAGCAGCAGTTTTCACCCGCTGTAAACAAACTAACTGGATACGTAACACTCGGCTGGTGCACAGAGACTGATGTGAGACAGAAATACTGTGAGAGGTCGGAGGAACAGATGTGTGGCGTTCACAGGGACGCTTGTTATTTTAGTTTGGATCACTGACGAAACTACTGTAGTTGCAGCAATGACAGTGATGCACATCTCATGGAGGTAATTAACAGTCAGAACTCAGCCAAATCTCAACACACAGGCATGATGCACATTTTTAAACTGGAGGATATCTTTATCTCCAGTGTCCATCAAAAACAAACATCCATTAACTTCCAAAGAAATCATAAAAATCATCTTTTTGAATCCTGGCATTGCCTTAGAGGCGGGATGTTTTTAAGTTTTCTTCTGTATCACAGTGATGCAGTAGTGGTTGTCAGTACATCCAGTGGTTCACAGCAAACAGGAGCAACTAAAAGAGAGTTCCGTATACTTCAGTTTTCCAAAATCGTAGCCAACAGCTTTGCATTATTTACCAACATTATGCTTCCTGTAGCCGTCTGTTTCCGGGTCTCAGTGGAATACTTCAGTCAAATCTGGCAGCACTGAGCAAACACCATGCAGTCTGACAAAGTTCCCCTTCAAAAAACTGTGGTTTCCTTCTGTTTTATTAGTCGCACAACCACACTGTACACAGCCCTGAGGAAAACGTAGAGAGATTAGAGGGAAATACTAGAGAGAACTGAGGCTCTGATGTCAGTTGGTGGCTTCGTTGAACACACACTGACACACTCCTACAGGCACAGCTGGTGTGTTTGGTGCAAATACAGAAAAAGTGGTTCAGCAGTCAGCAGTTTGTATGAAGCATGAAGTTCAAATCATTTTACAGTTACAGTAATGGGGGTTGTTCACTGGAAATGTTTCCTCCTTCAGCTTGTGTGAATCTTGAACCTGCTTTTTTTCAGTTGCATCTTCAGTGTGTCCACGTATCATCTGTTTCTTCAGGCACATCCAGAGTATGTCAGAGATTAAGACAGATGTGGGCCGAGCAAGAGCCTGGATCCGTCTGTCCCTGGAGAAGAAACTGCTGTCTCAGCACCTCAAACAGCTGCTGTCGCGACAAGCCTTAACCAAGTGAGCTTTTAATAGAGGAGACTGATTCTCACGTTCAGATGATGCTGTACTAATATGCACTGAGTCGTGTTGTTTATAAGGGACAGCATCAGTGTTACCATTTAGCTTAAAGCTAACTTTGATCTGACGCTTAATGACAGTCATGAAGGCTTCTTTATGTCCACAGCAGGTCTCATGTTAGTCCTGTGCTCACTTTTTGTAGTAAAGTGTTTTTCTTTCCAAATTACTATTCAGGAAAGTATGATTGAGTTTTTTATGGATGTCAAGTGTGTAATTACGCCATAGTCTCAAAATAGTCTCTGTTGACTCCCAGACAAACTGACTTTGGAGGCACTGGACGTTGCCCAGCAGGTGGTCTGTATTATTCAGCTGTGCTTGAACCTGATCTGACTTTGTCTACAGGAAACTGTACAAGCGTTACGCCTTCCTGCGCTGTGAGGAGGAGAAGGAGCAGTTCCTCTACCACTTGCTCTCGCTCAACGCCGTCGATTACTTCTGCTTCACCAGCGTCTTCACCACCATTGGTGAGTTCTCCATCAGTGGCTTCTAAACTGTGTTCAGCCACAGTTGATCTTCTCCTGCTTTGCTATGACAAAAGCAAGTCCCAGGCTGAACATGAGCCTGTTCCATAAAGCAAGTTTACCAGAAAAGCCAGGCTTATTTTAGGTAGTCAGATTTAGTTTCAGATGTTTTCTGCTCCTTAAAGCAAACTCAGCACAGTTCAAGCTTAGCTCCTCGAAGGTAAACCCTTCCTTCCAAGGAAGCTAAGCTGGTCCAGGGCAGGTTGACTGTCAGGCTAAACTGTAGTTGTTGTTAAACCAGAGCTCCTTTCACACTGACCCAACGTGAATAAGATTTTACCATCAACTCTCTGGTGTGCTGCCATGTTGTTTGACTTAACAGGCATCTGTCTAAAAAATTTAGTTTATAAAATGATAGAAGTACGGTTGTGAAGAAAAGTTTACATACACTTGTGTATCATGGCAGTCTTGAGTTTCCAGTGGCTCTTATAACTCAGAATTTTCTGTGGTGGAATCACTGAAACACTAATCTGTTGGGTCAAAATTATACGTACAGCAACTTCAGTTATGGGTTTTGGTGATCTAGAAAGTTTTGTTGATATTTGTATATTTTTGACCCAGCAGATTTTCTCATATTCCCAGAAGACCTGTGGTTCATTGTGCTTTATATACACCTGACTATCGACCCATAAATAGTACCATGACCTGAGAACACGCTTTCATTGTTTATCCATGGAAAGACATTCAGACAAGGCCATGTAGTTTAAAGAGTTTTAAAAATCAATCTGAAAAGTTACAAGAAATCTGGAAAACTTTGAAACACAGTGAACTTGTGCTCACCTTTTTGTCCTAGACAGCACTCTGGGAGCAACTTCTTGTGTAGTAAAGATATAAGAGAGCATAACAGGGCCAGTGTATCCTACAAAAGCGCTTGCTGGATGGTTGGGTTGCCTCAGAAGCCCAATTCTCCCGATACCTGTCTGCTGTCAGACTAAGGAGAGTTCAGTCCAGCCATCTCTGTAGCTTTCTGACTCTGACAATCCCACATTTACGTCACTTCATGAGAAAACAAAGGTCTGAATTTCTCACTCTAGCTCTCCAGACATTTCTTCATTACTATGAAAAGAAATGACCTGTCTCGTAAAGTAAAATGTCTGGATTTAAAATTCAAAAACTCTAAAATTCATTGGTGCTTATTTGTAATAGGATGGGTGAGCAGAATGTTATAGCGGATTTTAAAATAAACCACACACCAGCCGGGAAATATCTGAAGTCTTTCATTCTCACAGAGAGTCTCCTCTTTCCGCTCATTCCTTTCTGAGTTACTTAGTTGATGTCAGTTATGTGATGGATGAAGCTAATTATGGATCAATGGCTGACTGTGCAATTAGTATGAATAAACCATTAGAGTATATGTACAATTTAATCAAAGATTTAAGGCACAATGTATTATTCAGCCCAGTGAGTGCTCAGATCCTCCCGTTCAGATCAATGCAGTACATGCACACATGTACGACAGCATGGGCATGATCTTGTCTCCTCCTCTGCTCTTTTAACCGATCCGTGATTCTCTTTCCTTTCTGCTGCAGTTTGTTTGCCTCCAGCTGTGATTTCATGATAAAACTGACCCAGTTAGACGAGCCAGACTGAGTCTAATGAGGATGTAAGTGTTTATTTCTCTGCTCTGTCTGGTGCTGATCTGTTGTCTGTCCCTGCAGTGATCCCATACAGAGTCGTCATCATCCCCATTAAGAAGCTGAGCAACGCCATGACCACCTCCAACCCCTGGGTGTGTGTGTCAGGAGAGCTGGGAGACGCTGGCATCATGCAGATCCCCAAGAACGTCCTGGAGATGACCTTTGACGTGAGTGCTGTGGCCTTTGACCTCTCACAAGCAGTCACTGGGGTGTGGTGTGAAGACTTCATCTTCTGTTAGTCTGTGTTTGGAGTGTTTGCTTCACTGCCTGTCTAACATCACATGTGCATGCTACTGTATCGTACTTCATGTGACGGAGCAACACAGGGCGTTTAAGTGGTTGTGTTCGTTCACTATATGTCAGGTTTATTTTAGATAAAGATGGACGGCAGCTGCTGAACGTTTTTAAAGGGGACATGCCTGTGATTTTTTCTCAATAATACACTGCTATGATGTCAGATATCTATGTTTAATGTGCTTAGACTTCCAAAACAATGAGGTGAACATAATTAAAAATTCCCCCTACAAAACTAAAAAGCAGAGCTTTAGTCTGGTCTGAACAACTTATTTGCAATTTTACTACAATCTCACTCCTCTAAATGTTCTCAAATGTTAATGTACCATAGTACTTTGTCCTCAAAGTACAAGTAGACTTAAGACTTTCTTTGTGATAGGACAATGGTATGAAGTTGTTCGCTGTACTTTGACGGCGTTCCATCTGTCGGCTTCTTCAGAAGTGTCCTCTGACGTGTGTGACGTGTCTATCAGCTGTTTTTCCTGGGTGTGGACAATCTAGCAGATCCAGTGGGTGTGTCAGTTTGGCCACACCTACCGTCACGCGGTGGTCTCTGGAGCAGAGCGTCCCAGGTGTGGGATAGAAGGAACGCTCCATCATCTCTATTGATTCAATAGAGATGATGGAGCGATTGTCCACACCCAGGAAAAACAGCTGATAGACACATCACACACGTCAGATGACACTTCTGAAGAAGGCGACAGATGGAACGCCGAAACATGTCGAGGTACAGCTAACGTCATACCATTGTCCTATCACAAAGAAAGTCTGAAGTCTACTGGCATTTTGAGGGTTTTATAGAGCTCAGAGAAAATGTTTTCACTGTTGGGAAAAAATACTTTTAGGACCATCATGAGTCGCCTGATGAGCATGGAAGTGGTCGTGATGTAATCTGGTCACTCTCCTGAAACTACTACACAGTCCAGCACAGCTCGTGGAGGCTGAGAGGAGACCCACCAGTCAGAACCACAGTGGTTTCTGTACTTTTGTCCATCGTTTCTATCCGGTACCACAGCTTTGTATTCAGCTAAGAACTGTGACACAGTAATATAGGAGCAAGTACATGAGCAGACAACCTGTGTCACACACCTAAAACTTGGTACGCTGTGGTTTGTGTATGTTCTTGTATCTGGAGGTCAGTGTTGGACTCCTCCTCTCCCATGATTAGTGATGCTGACGTTAGACAGAGGACGACGTCCAGGAGAAGACACTGTGACGTCCTGCTGTCCTCCTCTCACTCAGCACGTCTGCGTGGTTGCATGTTTGCACTGCTGTTTGTTTCTGTGTGAATGATGGACGATGTTCTTGTTTTGGATCTGTGCTTTCCACGCCGCTGTTTATACTGTCTGTCCGTTGTGTGTTAACAAGTGTTTTCATCTCCATCAGTCTGCTTTCAGGCCTCATACGCACATCTCCGCCATGTTCAAGGTTAGCCGAAGTCCCAGCTTTACTCCCTCCATCTCCCATCATCCCCCTCTGTCTCTCTCAGATGCTTCTTTTCCAGTCATCCGTTTGCCCTGTGGGCATCATGGCTTCACTTTAGTTTGGGCTTTGGTCACGGTCGTGCTGTTGTCCTGCTAGAATGTGTCTCACCCCATGACTGCACACTGAACTGCTGCTCTCTGTTCCATTCTATGTCTGTACTGTAATAATTAGCTTAAAGCTGCTTAGAGAGGCAGAGGAAAGACCAGCCTGTAATGTGACTACATGTAAAATGTAGAAAACCCAAAGAAAAGAAATTACATTTAACTTGTCAAATACAGTCAGTCATATCCATGGCTAGATTACGGCGTTAATCACGGAGCTTAGATCAGGAGTTTGGGCAGTGATAGACTATTTAGTTCTGCAGAGTGACTTTAATAACGTAAAGTAAACGCTGTCTCTGCTATGTGTGTCTGTATTCAGTGTCAGAACTTGGGGAAGCTGACCACAGTGCAGCTGGGTCATGACAACGCTGGGCTCCTGGCTAAATGGCTGGTGGACTGCGTCATGGTGCGCAACGAGATCACAGGACACACCTACAGGTGAGCAGAGGGGATGTCTCTCACCTGTTCTGATATTCCTGTTGCTTTCACATGATCAATTTCTCTCACTGATGCATTGTGTTACTGCCAGAATTTGCTAACAAACACCTTTGACAAAGAATATTCTATCTATTATCTATTAATCTGTCTAACTACATTTTGAAATTTCTAAGCCAATTTTTTATTTTTTATTATTTTTGATAAAACTTCCAGTGTTCAAGATTTTAGGATTCTACATTTCCTATGTTATCGTTCCTAAACTGGCCTTTTAAATGTTTTTATTGAACCAGCTGTGATCACACACTCTCTCTGTTAACATGTCTTTGGTGTTTATTTTTCTTTCTTTTTTTTTCTTGCTTTCGTAAGTTGACTTGATGTCATTGAAAAGATGAACACCCCTCAGTGATCTCTCAAGTCTAGATGAAGTTTGAATGAATTAACTAGTGCATCATAGTTTTGAAGCTTAGCAACACAGAGGAATACAATATATCAGGAAACTTATTACAAGTTGTGTTAATTGTTGGTGTAGATCTGCACATAACTGACAAGAAGAGAAATATAGATTATTTCCAG